GGCTTTCCTTGCAGCCCCAGCTTTGTCCAGAAGGTCATCTGGAAGGACGTCTGGTCTAATTAGCATATTACGCTTTTATTATTATAGATTATCACTCACTGATTATTAATGCAAAATATTTCTAAATTGCAAACCTTTCAGTCTTTTAGACCTGCATTTTTCTTTTTTAAATATATATATATCCTATATAATAAAAGCCTAATATATTAAGTGTCCGGTCGACCAGTCAGCTATTCAGCCAATCAAAGTGTAATATGCTAAGGCCACTCAACCACTCTCTATGATGTGCACTGACCACCAGGAGGCAGACCCTCCAACTTACCAAGTTCAAACATTCAGTTTCTATAGCAATTTAAATACATGAACATACTTAATGGGAAAAGGTTCTAATTTAAAGAATAAAGTTCCATATTGTACTATAGAGATTGTATAGGGCAGCGGTTCTCAATCTGTGGGTCACGACACCTTTGGCGGTCGAACAACCCTTTGACAGGGGTCGCCTAAGACCATCCTGCATATCAGATATTTACATTACGAATCATAATAGTAGCAACATTACAGTTATGAAGTAGCAACAAAAATAATTTTATGGTTGGGTCACAACATGAGGAACTGTATTTAAAGGGCCAGAAGGTTGAGAACCACTGCCTTGGGGGATGTTGGAGAGCCGGTTTTGGCCCAATCTCTCAGACCAGGCCGAGGGACCCCACTGGTGTACGAATTCGTGCACCGGACCGCTAGTGTGTGTGTGTGTGTAGACTTCAGAGAGGAAGGAGGGGCAGAGAGAGAGAGAAACATCACTGCTGAGAGAGAATCATGGATTGGCTGCCTCCTGCACTCCCCTACTGGGGATTGAGCCCGCAACCCGGGCATGTGCCCTGCTGGGGAAATGACCTGTGACCTCCTGGTTCAACCACTGAGCCACACTGGCAGGCTAGAAGATGCTTTGTAAAGATCTCTGGTCAAAAAGGCCAAGAAAAACATATGGCATGTGACCTTAGAAAAAAGAAATCAGACACAAAAACAGAACAATAGGAATAACAACAAAAATAAAATTTTTGTTCCAAAACGGAGTCCCCGCTCCTGGCGAGACCCTCAGCTAAGGCATGGAGGGCTGGGCGGGGCGCTGGGCGCTGGGCCACTTTAGTGAGGTCCCAGGGCTGCGGGGAGCGGGCAGCTCCTCGGGGGCCCATGTCACCCGACCATCAGGTGAAGCACAGGTGAAGGTCACCTCTTTCTCACACAGCACGGAGTTTGGGGGCTGAAGGGAGTTCAGAGCAAGTGGCAGCAACCAGGGCGACCAGCCTCTGAGGAATTCCCGTTCTTAGAACCAAAGTCCTCGCTTCCTAGGACTAAACAACTATCTGCTGAAAGAGAAAGACCAAGAGGCGCTTTCACTCCTGACCAAGGAACAGGCCCAGCCGTGGCCAGCGAGGGAGATGCTGTGGCCAGTGGGGGTGTGCCGTGGCCAGCGGGGAGTG